TACCAATGCAGTTACGTGGTCCAGCACTGAATGGTAAATACGAATAAGGATGACGATTTCGGATCTTCTCAGGCAAAAATCTATCTGGATCATATATCTCTGGATTTGGCCAAAAATTAGGATCTCTGTGGACTCCGTAGATATGAAGATGAATGTTTGTTTCAGCAGGTACTGTATAGGATCCTGTAAAGTATATTTATTCATTCATTTTGAAAATATATAAAACACGAATGTTTTATTTATAAAAATTTTATTACAAATTATTATTACAATTATTATTACAAATTAATTCAACAAAAAATATTATAGTATTGCAAATAAAAATATTTCAATTTTATAATATTGTAAATATTTATATATTGAATTGATAACATATATATTCATTTTACGTAGTAATATATTAAGAAATATATATACGAAATATTAGTTACGTACGTAATTTTACATCTTCTGAAGTAATTCGTGATATAAAATACACGCTGGGATACAAACGCATTGCTTCCTTTAAACATCTCTCTAAATATGGTAGGTTTTGCAACATCTTTAAAGTAAGTTTATCTCCATTCTCTTGCATACCAGTCCTGATTTCATCTCTAACACGATCCTGAATTTAATATTATTAATTGAAAGCGCATTTCTTACTATTGTAATGATTTTGTAAAATAGATTCTATAAATTCTATATTTATTTCGGAAGTATTTTTTTTAATATGCATAAGATATAAGATATAAATATATTAAATATTAATGTTTAATCATATATTTAAAATCTATTTAAGTATACGAAATATTTAAGAAAATATATGTATTTATTTATAATAATTCTCAATATCTATTAATCAGCGGAAAAATTTAAATTAAAAGGAATAGGGCTTAATACAAAATAAGTCAGATAAAAAGAAATTGCCAATATGAGCCGACACAAGATTTTAATATGTATAATACTGTATATTAAGACAAATAGATACAGAAATTATGAACGTTTTGACCCTGCTTTGGGTCTTTTTAGTATAATTAATAATATATTAGAATCGTAA